GGACGGACGGACGGACGGACTGACGGAGGGACGGACGGACGGACGGACTGACGGAGGGACGGACGGACTGACGGATGGACGGACGGACTGACGGACGGGCGCAGCGGGGCGCAACGGCAAGGCCGTTGGTGATGCGGCGGAACTGCTGAGTTCCTTAACGCGCCGACTTCAAGCCACTGAGTTTCGTCAGGGAATTCTCCATTCATAGGATATACTGTTCCCAGGGTGAGCGGCGAATTTACTAGACTGGCCGCCCCGACGCATTTCTTTTAGCTACCCATTCCCAAAATTATTTAAACAGTCAACGTAAAAATAAGAATAAAATTAAATTCATGTCATATAAATTCAAATGACTTTATTTTGTTTGTTGGATATTTTTTGTTTATAATAAACAAACGTTGGTCACGTTGATGAAACAAATTAGGAAAGTGCCTAGTTTGGCAGATAATAATTTCCACTAATACATGTGTTCTGTTTAGATTCTTAATACATTCTTGAACTCGATTGTGATTTTGATTTCCATAAGATTTTATGTATAGTACTCTATTTTAATTTGTGTTGTCCATAATCCCTTACAAAAAACTAAGTTTATAATTTACTCTTAGAAAATTTACAATGAACGCGAATGTATTAAGTTTTAAATAACGTGTGCATTGCTTAAACTCTGTCTGCCTTGTGCTTTGCAATATGTCTGATATTACTGATAACATAATTTGCATGTAATTATTAAATAAATTTTCTTAATACATTGCAGTAAACTATTTACTTTTAAACAATTTTTTGATGAAATTAAACACTTACCAAAAATATATTTTAATTCATTAATGTATTTGTCTGTTTATATTTTTTTTCAATAGAAAACACTATTAATATCAACCTAACAACCTAACCAACATAATACATATTCAACAATTGGAAAAAAAGTCTCCAAATGTATTAACTAACCACACCATTTTGTTGCTTTATTCTTAATTTTTAAAGAATTATTTATTCTTTTGTTATAATTATGTAATTGTATTATACATTGGCTCTGACTATAGTATCTAATTAAATGTAATCAATACTTGAACAAAAGAAACTACATAAGATAAAAGATTGAAAGATATTTAGCATTGTTGTGTTATTTGTACTTGAAAAAGTGAACAACATTATAGTTTTGTGCAATGAAAATAAAAGAATATATCATGAAGGTCATGGTTTGATCACAGTTATTTTGAAATTGTGACTATAGAGAGATATTAACAACTACCTTTTAGATATTCACTGAAAATATAGCAAGAGCAATTCATTTAAAATATACCTGAACATTTTCTATGGAATTTGTTTATTAAACACTGAAAATTTAAATTAAATGCGAAAAAACATTATATAAAAGGCACAGGAATATGGAAATATTTGTGTGTCAAGTTTAACTGAGATCTTTTTAGTACAAAAGGTAGTGAAATAAGAAATTGAAAGGACTTCAAAATATGATATCCTTTAATATTTGATCAATTTCTAATTTCTTTCAAACAAACATTTTTACAAGAAAAAATATGTTCATAGATTTATTTAGAGAAAACCATTATCGAGGCTAAAGCTCTTTGCTTGCTGCACCATGATCACATATTTTGACTAAATTTTTATTTAATCACTTGAAGAGAATTTTGTATAGAATTATATACAGCAATTTTATACAAACACAAATTTTTATACAACAATTGTTTATTTAAACAATAATCACCGAACTTTAAGTGCTACGGAAAACACACCACTGGAAAAGTGCAATAGTTTTTAAACGATATATGAATGCCTCACCGACGTCTTTGTACATTTATAGTCTCACATTTCTCGAACGTATCCGGCGAAAGGTCTGTTGTAGGCCTAAGGAAGAAATTCTTCCTTTTATTTTCTTGCCTTACTACGTATGTAGTAAAGGTAATTTACTGTAATGCTGAAGCGGAAATCGGCGATTTTGTTACAGGAAAATGTGTATTGTCAGGCCTTCTTAACAAAAAATTGGATAAATCTAATCTATATGTAGTAAATTACTTCCTCTAACACGCTTGTAATTAAAATTGATGGTTTTGGGGCTCCTAAAACGAAACAGTAGATTGACGGCAAAATGTTTGCCGTCTATTTGGCGATCCCCTCGTCTATGGCAAACGGTAGCGCCTAAACTGTTCAACCGATTTTCTCCAAAAATATTTTTCCTTATCTATTGAAACAAACTCAAAGCTTAGCGAGTTTGAAACGTATATTTGTGTGTTTGGGGGTACTTCTATTTACGTCTGTCTGTTTATCTGATCTGTCAGTCTTTGGTCAACTCTTGTGCCTAAATTTTTTAGACCATTATCTCCAAAAGTGATATTTCATTTTCAATATGGCCGAACTCAACGGCTTGTAAGTTTTAAACAGATCTTTTTATTTTGGGGGGTACTTAAGATCAAATCACAACATTTTCAAAATTTTCTGATAAAGGTTATATTTTTTAACTTAATATTTGTTCTTGGTAATCGTAATGGGCACTTAAAAATGGGCAAAATCTTAGTTTTCGATAATATTCTGAATTTTCGCAAGTTGCAAAATTTGAAAATTATTTCAACATCTTCTTACAACTTTAATGTTTAAGCTAGAGATTTTTTCGGAATGAGATATGCTGTTCAAAGACATTTTAAAAGAAGTTCATGTGCAACTTTTCGAAAATAACTTGCACGTAATTTTACGTGAAATATAGACAATTTAAAAATATTTTTCTCGTGTGTAGAAAAGAACGGTAACAAGGTGGTGCCTGTCCTCTTTCGGTGAACTCTGCGTGTTTTCGAAAAATTGTCAAAATTTAATATAATCGAAGTACAATATTGACGATAAAGATATTTCTTAAATAAAAAGTGTTGCAGAAAATGAAATGTTTAATTAAGGACATACTGAATTATTTAAAAAAAATATTTTTACCTAGTTTCTGGCTGAAGGTAATGGTATTTATAACAGAAATTTCTCAAAACGATTAGTATATTTTTTTCATGAATACAGCATAGACGCTATTAAATGGCGCAATCTCATTTTTCTTCAAGTCTCGAAATTTTCAAGAAGTAAATGTTAGAAATAATGGGTGAAACCAAGTTAAAAAAAAAAACGAGGGACAGAAGTGCCGGGGTAAGGTCTCGGCAGTTGTGTCGTTAACAGTGAAGCACGCGCCGGGAAAGACGCTCTCGCAAATGGCATACAACGAGTGTGTTGAATTAATTTCCTCGGAAGACCGCAATGGTTTGCGTCCAGATTTTTTTTCTTGAAGTCGACCCAAGTGAACGGCGCTCACAGCCTGAGCCAGCCGCGGCGCTTGTACTCGGGCAGCACGCGCTGCAGCCACGCCTTGACGGCGGGATCCTCGTACATGAAGGCGCCGGCGTCGGGGGCGGCGGCGCCGCCGGCGGTGGCGTTGACGTCGGGGGCGGCGTCCACCTTGACGAGCGGCAGCACGCCCGTCGCCCCGAACAGCGCGAACGCCCCGTGCGCATCCAGCGCCGCCTGCAGCGCCTCCAGCGGCGGCGCCTGCAACACAACGGGGCCGAGGAGTGCGCTCCCTGCAATTTACGTGCATTGGCGGGAAATACCTGATTATATAACTATAGAGTGATATTTCAACTCATTTAGAATAATTATATTTTATATAACTATAGAGTGATTCTTCAACTCATTTAGAATAATTGTATTTTATAACATTAAGAATTATCTTTTATTTCTAGGAGTAATATTTTTTTAAAATCATCTACGTAATTACAAATTGTAAACTAATCTCACATCAATATATTGTAACGGTACAAGCTCCTGCGTTGAAAAATGTACATGAAAAAAAAGAAGAAAAAAATAGCAGACCATGACATAATGAAAAAAAAGGTCGGTTTATATTTTTATTAAAAATTGTCAAAATCATTGTGATTCATCATCATCATCATCATCATCATCATCATCATCATCAATGTTTTAAAGTAAATGTTTGTTAATGCAAATGTTTTTGACCATTATTATTGAAATTCCCATTCCCGTTCCAGACAGATAGACACGCGTGAGGGGTTACAATATACTTTGTACATTATTAGAACATGTGATATACTGATAAACACAACTTTTGTGCTGTTTGCATATGAAATATAAACACATTTGACACCTGAATATTGTCGTATTCTTCAACCGGCCGCGTTTCTCGTCTTTGCCACGTTTTCTGTCTGATTCTTGCTCTGCTATGGTCTCATTGTTGCTATACCAACTAAGAAATATAGGAATGTCCAAAAGACGTGAAGCAATGTTTGCTCTTCCAAATATAGATGTTTCAAACAACGAAATTTCCAAATTGAGCAATACTTTTCTGAGGCCTCTTACGCAGTCGTGCTTGTTGCCTTTCAAGAGCACGAGTGCATTCACACCTGCAATGTGGTAATACTTGAAACGGAATACCAACTGCACATCTGATCCACAGTGTCCATTCCTCACGGTCACGTTGACTCACTGGACGTGGCGCGTGGCATGGAGTGCGGCGGACAGCGAAGGCTGCGACAAGGCGGTGGCCAATTGCTATCTTTAGACTGACAGAAATCATTCCTACACTGTTCGACGTCTGACACTCTGCTGTTGGAATACTTCTTGTGATTACCTGAAAGTTTTAGTTAAAATGCGCGTGAAGGGAAAATGCATGTGAGTTGCACTCCTCGGAATAGCGCGCCCGCCCGAGGGCTAAATGAATTCCCAACGTCAGCCCATCGCTCGCTGTTTGGCAACTACCTGCAGGCCCAGCAACTCCATGGCGTCTCTCAGAGCGACGTGGTACTCGCGCAGGAGCAGGGCCTCGTGGCGGGAGGACACGTCCTCGCTCGGGGAGGTGCTGAGGAAGTAGAGGAGGTCGATGGCCGGCGACGCCACGCAACTTATCTGCCAGTCAAAAAGTTCATTTCGCTTTCATTTTGGTGATGATTGATTCATGCTCAAATGCAAGAGAAAAGGCACAATGTTTCTTAGTTTCTGTCGTCTACAATGTTTGAATGTTTCACACTATTGTGTTGTTGCAGAAAGATTAGTAGATGTAATTTCTCCGGGGTGTAGAAAGGCCAGCTTCGCCCTTCAGTTTTCGGTCCATCACCGGAAACATTGAGTAATATTTCTTTCAAAATGCAATTCAATTATTCCTCTACAAATTTGTAGTTGTATGTGAATTGATTAATAATGACAAACGTTTTTCTATGTATTAATTAAAATATACGTCACTTAAATTCTATAAAATGGAAACTACTGAGAACACACACTATTTGTGAAAATTAATGACATACTACTTAAATATTGATCGTCTATATCTCTTCGAATTAATGGAGTACGGGGATATCATTGGGAAGAGCTATTAAAAACTGTACATCATGGGATTACGGAGTGTACGACACTAAGGCAGAGTAAAGTTACGGCAAGAGGCGCATATGAGAACAGAAGACTACGACGTTGCAACGTCGATTTGCTCTGAGATGTATAAAGATATTAGAAAAAATATATAATAAATTGGCCTAAGTGGAACACGTCAGGGACAATGATTTGATAAAGACACACTAGTATTGGTTGACGCGCCTCTGGGATTGAAGAGAACGCATTTAGCGTACAGATCTTCTAGAAAGCGGCGCACCTGGAAGTCGACCATCCGCATGTCGACGGGCCGGCCGCGCTCGTAGCGGAAGAGCATGTTGTTGAGCCAGAAGTCGCCGTGCGCGACGACGCTGAAGCGGCCGGGCGCCGGGTCGAGGTGCGCGGCGAACGCCTCCAAGGCGCCGGGCCGCAGGGCGTCGAGGCAGTCGGCGTACTCGCGGAAGCCGGGCCACGCGCGGCACGCCCCCGCCGCCAGGCGCAGCGACGCCTCCACGAAGGGGCCGAAGGTGGCGGGCCCGCCGGGCCGCATGGGGTTGCCCAGCGCCCGCGCCGCCGCCGCCGCCGCCGGCTCGCGCGCCAGCAGTGCGGCGGACGCGGCGTGGTACCTGGCGCAACGCGCGTTCCGCCTCGAGTGATTCATTCCGGCGCGTCGACAGCTAAGGGCACTCAGTGTAGTGGGCGTTTTACGGCTGGGCCCTGCGCCGACCTACCGGTGGCTTACGTGCTGCCCCTGCCCAGCCTCCCTAAGCTCCCGACTCATCTCCCGACACATGCCGGTAGTGTAGTGCATGTGTGAGTGTGTGTATGGATATAGCGGATGAGGATAGGGCAAGAGAGAGGAAGGACAAATGGCACGACGTCCTTGGCCAGTTAGTTAGGGTACTGCTCCGGCATTCGCCTGGTAATGATCGGAGAAAAATGCGCGATGATCTAACTAGTGTCGAAAATCCTGCCACCGTCGGGACTCATACCTAGGACCTCCCGGTCAGAGGAACTGCAGTGACATCAGCTGATGCCCTAAGCCACCGCTCCCGATTATCCGCTTGAAATACAGAGACTTGTGACAGGTCAACCTTTGTGGCTTCGGTAATATAATGGTTAGCGCATCGGAAGTTTACTCAAGATTGTGGGTTTAAACCCGTTGTAAGCCATGGATTTTTCTGGGAGAAAAAAATCCTTCGTTCGTCTTCCTTCGGATGAGAAGTAAAGTCGTCTGTCACATGAAGTTGATTTACTGCATGTGATCCTCAAAGAAGCCTCTGGGCGAAATCAAATCGCCTGTTCCGTCGGCCAAGTGATACTTTATTTCTCTGCTGCTGAAAGAAGCGTAACGAAATGTTCATGGTCAGACGGAAGTGCCGGCCTAATCGCCTAATAACGCTTATCTGTCAGAAGTCACAATATTTAACTCGGACAATAGTGTGTTTGGGCATAGACCTATCCTGAGTTCACACGGCGTATTCAACGACAGTTCAAGAGCTAGAGTTACATGCGAGGAGGAACTCACAGCGATGGAAGGATGACACTGCGATAGAGCCATATGCGCACACTATCGATTTTCAAAAACACATTGCTCATTACGAGGAAGAGCATGTAATTGCCAAGCACTGTGATTGGGCATGTCCAGAAATTTTCTGTGAGAATTTTATTACTTTGAATCATTGGTTTCTTGGGACATGTTTAAGAAACAGAAAAGGTATTACTGTTCTATTTTTTTACCGTCGATCCCGTTACGATTCTGTTTGTTTTTTGCAAATGCTTTGCGACTAAGATATTGCTATTGAACTTTTGCTTGTCTATAGGGTACTCAGCAATGTTTTTCTGGTAATTTCTATCGAATATTTGGTGGCACTATGTTCTTGAATATTCTTCCCTCTACGACATACGGACCACATCTTCAATTATGTATTTATATGGAAGTTTTCGGCACATCTGATGTTTCATCGACATTGCGTTAACGAAATATAAATGTATTTTTTGTGTCTAAATAAACTGTGTAAAAGTTATGAAATCAATGTTGTAGAGACGGAACTCAGTGTAATCGTTTCCCCTTCCTTGATGACAGCATGGGATGAGGATTCCGCACGCGAACCCAACTCGAAGTGTGAGAATTTGTTTCCGGGTGCGTCAACTACTTAAGCCATTACTCCTTTATGTGTAGTGCATGTTTCATCCCGACATGTGACGACGTTTCTTCTCCAATGATACGTGAGATCCGGCGCCAACCTACACGCATGCTATGGGGGGTTTTCCCATATCAAGTATCTTCTTCGGTAGAGAACACCCCTAACCAGAACCCGCTATACACATATAAGTATGTCGTAGGTAATTGGCACTATATCACATGTACATATTTAGTGTTATCACTTTAGAGGGGAGCAGCTTCACACTGTATTCCTACGTAACAAATAGTCATGACCTTACTTTTATTGCTTCTACAGTTGTTCCTTCATTACGAGCATGGTTTTCAAAACGTTAAGATGAATGGCATTGGGGCAAATGTGAGTTAAAGCATCGCATTTCGGCAGAAAATTGATCGGGGCCCTGGAGCAAAAGGGCTGGGAGGGCGCACCTGGCGAGCGTGCGCAGCGCGAGGAGGCAGTGGCGCAGGCCCAGGCCGCGCCTGCGCTGCGCCAGCTGGAAGCCCAGCGGCCGCAGGTCCTGCAGCACCAGGAAGTCGACGGGGCAGCGGCCGTGCAGCGCGCAGCGCGCCGCCAGCGGGGGGAAGCGTCCGGGCGCGGCGGCCTCCAGCAGCGCCTGCGCAACCCCCCCCCCCCAAGTGTGTTAATGGCATAAAAACAGATTAACAATGACGGGACGTGTGCAATTATAAAATTCGAAAAAAGAAATTAAATTAAGAAATGAAAGGGTTGCAATTTCGTGCATGGAAGTTATTTTGCAATAATGGCGGTTCAGATGGGTGTGATAAGCACAAGAGGCGCGTGCATTTAATCATTTCTACACAATCTGTGGGTTTGCATTAAGGAGTGTTGAGTGTAATCCATTTCGCGTACAGCACTTAGTGGAATTGAATATTGGATCAATCCTTCGTTTCAGGGCATACTTAATTATACCCACTGTAAGTAGTATGGAAAGAAAGACACCATATTTAAATTTATGTATTTACACTATATTAAATGTATCAAAAGCAATGCATAAAATCGTCGTAACGCATCATGTAGAGAACGGTACACTTGCATTTATCATCAGTTCAGGGGAGCTAGAGACAAGGAGTATTTTGCCGACATTTTGCGGCTATCTAATTAATACTGAGCAGCACTTAGTGTCCTGTCAGCATAAAAAGAATATGGTAATTTGAACCATTCTATTATCAAAATATAGAGATGCAATATTGTACTACAATGAATCGCATGATGTAGATTCTTATGAGTTCATGAATCGCAGGTATTTATTTGAGCACTGCGGTGTCATTGTTAAGGAAAGAATTCGTAACTATAGTAATTGACATGGTATTTTTATTAGTACAGCTATGGTTAATGGATGCAATGTATTATTTTGCTTATGATTTTGTGGCTACTATTTCCAAAATTCATCGACTCGCCAGATATGTAAGAACGCGAAATGAAAAAGTAACCGCAAGTTGACATAAAAGAGAGTAGTGTCAAAGATTTTTTTGGTGTTTTGATGACTTATGATTATGGATACAGAAGTGATATATTTTAGAGAAGACCACCCCCTTTATTCTTACTTCGATATGTTTTTACCACGTTCATTCCTAGCAACATTTGATGGATTGTCTATAATCGTCAAATCTACTACATAACTCAGAAGATTAGGAATCTTCGCTCAGTTCTTCCAAAAGAATCGTAAACATTCAAGTTGTTAAAGACAATGTAAGTCTGTCTTCTGGAAACATGTTTTCAATGAAATGAAATGGGACATTGAAAGTTTTCTTCCATTATAAGATGAGCGAACAGGGAGGCAGAGTTGTCGATTTGACTTGAACAAAGCGACCATTTGTCTTAAAAATAACAACCAAGATGACTTTCATTTCTCTCAGTCCTTGTACAACTGCGAAGAAGCAATAGAAATATGGTAAGGGTGCCGAGATAAATGCCAACTAAATGCGTCCACGCTATGTTTCATTTAAATCAAGTATCAATCTTTTTTTTAATATTTACTTTTAGAAAACTTGTTCAACATCCGCAAAAAACTTGTTGAAAATTGGGCAGGTTATTTTACATACTGTATGATGTAATACATAACATACAATTTACATACATAATGATGTAAAATAGGTTTCGGAGGAGTTGCTTACAATAACATATCAACATTGAATGTATGCGAGCGAAAAAATCCTTAGAATATTGAAAAATAAAACCTTAAAGAAGACAGCAATCACCATGCCTGTCATTCTCTTAAAAGAAAGAGAAAAGAATCCTAATAGACAACATCTGTACTGTTACAGTGTACAAAAGTGAACTATCCGTAGAAGTGTGAAAAATTGCAACAGAAGGAAGACTTTCAAACTATGATATAAAGCAAACAATAAAAATTAAGGGTCTCAATAAAAGGCTCATCGAGTGTAAGTGAAAGTGGTTACAGCATGTAGAAAGAACGGATAAAGTGTTTGTCAATGTTAGCCTGCAAATATAGATAAAGAGGTAGGAAGCAGAAAAAAAGATATAGAAATAAATTCTGTGAGGTTGAAACAGATAAAAGAGAGTCTGTCAGTGTAAGAATATATAGTTCGCTGTTCTGAGTCAGTTTCAGAATGACTTTTTGAAAGCACTCTGTCGTTGTTTCATAATAGTCCTTGTGGAACACCGCATATACCGGCTGAGAAACCTCGGAAGTGGCAGAACCTCTCCTGCTTACTCACTGGCGATGCGGCGAGTGGCTGCAATTTCCCGGAAAGCGGAAGACTGAATAGTGAGTATATTGGAGCCACGTAGTAGTGGCCACTTCACCATCCTACACTAAGAGGTCCTTGGACCCATGAAATCACTGTAGGGAATTTAACAGGGCAGTTCTATACAGAAATATTCACGTTTACATCTGGCGTGGCGGAGACACTGTTCTCATACATCTTAGGCATTTAATAAACAATGTACTCCCTGTTGTGGGCAACAAATATATAATTCTATAGATAAAAAAATAAATAAAGAAATCAGTCGTGCCAACCTCCATCTTGGGCACGAGCTGGGTCAGCATGATCGTCTCTCTGCGGAAGTGGCCACCCTGCGCGACGGCGGCGGCCGCAGCGGCGCCTGCGGGCGGGCCTTTCAACAGCACGGTCTGCGTCCCTCCGTGGCCTTGGGCGCCCTCCAGTTCCGCCGTGGCGCGCAAGAGCGCGCTGCAGTAGCTGTCGCCCGGTGCGGCGGCTGCGCTGAAGGTGACGTTGGCGACGCGCGCGCTATCTGCACTACCGCTGCCGAAGCCAACGCCTTGCAGTGTCGCTTGCACCAGTACCGTCGACGCCCACGACGGCACCGTAAGGTCTTCGGAGTTCTCTTCCAGAGACATTGCCACCTATGAGGTTGCCCAGCTTTGAGAAACGACTTAGTAACAGTAATACAAAATAAGTGGTAGTAATAAACATGTCCACGTAAATTTAAATATATATAAGTCTTCACGAAAAGTCAAACCATGAAATGCTTTCCAGAAAAAAAACTTGTTTTGAATAATGTCGACGGATGTATATCAAAAGTGTATAATAATTAACATAACAAACTTGGCCGAACTTAGCATTCCAAGAACCTGATTAGCAACTTTTCCAGTATAAATATTAATAATTTATTAGGACCTGTTAATATCAGTCAACAGAATTTGGCAACTAGTATACGGAAATACACAATACTATTTTATTTTAGATACATTTGTACGACAATCAAATATGAACAGAAACTTTTAAAACAGGTTATCTGAGACTATTGTGTGTGGATCAATTTTGTTAAGTTAACTTTTAAGAATATTCGAATATAATATAGTTTTTATTATATATTTAATACAATTTATGTGGATGGATATTGTGTCTTCAAAACTGACTTTTATCTCAGTTGAGAGCGAAAGTAATATTCTAGACTGCCAATGTTTCCAGCTTATTCTTCTCAATAATGTGAATGAAATAACGTCAAAAATGAAGTAAATATGTATTATGGAATTTAGTTATGAGCAAAAATTCTAAATTACAAAAATCTGTAAAATTCCAGGCGAAAATTAATCTTAAGTACATTTATTCTTGTTAAAAGTATGTGCCTTAAGTTGAATTTATAAACAGATACTTATTCGGCTACTACTTTCTACTTTTTACTGTTGATTCATTATGCAAAAATATAAAACGCCACAAAGAGAAAAAAATTGAAACATAGCAGTCTTAGTTTAAAAAGAAATTTTAAATTTACTAAGTTGATCTACATACCTTTTACTACATGTGGACCTAAATGATATTACAATACCCAAATGTAAGCTGTACGTACGTAACCTATTTCGTAGAACTAATGAAGAGGGCAACCAACAGAACTCCAATATACTTGTTTAAAACTCATTTTAGACGTCGTCCTCCGAACTAATCAAATATCATACAATGACTCACCTAAATGTGGAAAATTAATGATAAGATCTTTGATCGCAAGGCAGAGATTGCATACGTATGTAATACACAACGTCACGTTTGCTGGCCAACTATCATTAATATAGGGAATCCCCTGCACGTCGATTCCACGCAACTCGACAATCGATTCATTGACTCAGCGCAGGACGTCGATTTTGGCTTCTCGACTAGCTTATCGATTACTATCGCCACGTAACGGTAGTGGGTCTCCCACTCACTTCTCGAACAGTTGGGTAGGGGAACAGCGCAGCTGTGCTTTTGTTTTGGCCGAGCGCGTGAGTGCCTGTTTGAATGCGCCACTTGAATTCTGCAGCCGTATCTCTGTGATTGTTCCCGCAGCACAAGTGATTGCGGTTATGGCGCCCATTTATTGCAGTTCCGTTGATACAGACACGCTTGTTAGAAGGCAAGCGGCTGGCTGCGTTCTTCTGTTATGGCTAACTAGTAACCTTTTATTCGCCATCGTGCAGTACCCTTGACCTAGAACTTTATATGTAACGGTACTCTTAAAAAATATACTTATGCTTTTACAATTAGAGACCGCTCTGACACGCCATAAAAAGTGAAAAAAAAAACCTTTTATTAGTGCGTATTAAATGTACATAAGAGTACTTTTTTCTTGTAATCATCACGGAAGAAATTACACAGTACAGTCATAAGAATTGAACTTTTGAAAAATGTGAACACCAACTTTGAGATATTGTTTCTTGCAAGACATTTTCCCTTCTTTGCAGTTTTATACTTTCTTTTAACTACAAGTGAGAACTATTTTGTGAAAAAAGTGATTTACAATTAATGGTATCACATTATTCTACTGTATAATTCACGCCTTGCAAAAAACGGTACATATAAACCTGTCCCGAACAACTCCAACTTACTCTCTCCTTCTCTTTTCTCGTAGATATCTAAAGAAAAACGTATTAGTAGAAACTTTTACTCCTCAGAGTACATCCCTGTCAATCAAAATAAAAAAGGATGTTGCGGAGGTGTGTTGACTTTGAATTGAGATAAGGGGAACAATCTGTTTTAAAGCCGATTTAATTCCTACCGTATCAAATGGTTCACGATCCTGATATTTAGAGATACCTCGTTAGGAGGTTGAAGTATACAAATCATTCATTAGGATAGGTCTGACGAATAATTGTGTGTGCGCAATAAACCGGAAAACCCACCATTAATGTTACACGAGTTAGTGAAATACTGTCTCGACAAAGAGAATTATAGAATATTCAAATGTAATGTTGTCGTTTTCATCCCAAATAACTCTTCTCTTAAGCGTTTAATCTGCGTGACCAAATTCTCTATATCCTCTTGACAAAGGACAAATTGAATATCACCATATCGGTAATTTTTAGTGGATTAGATGAGCTAATCAACATTAATTCCGTTTTTTGCTGTGCAGTATTTTTTTGCGGTGTTAGAATAAATTGTCAATAAATGGGTGGTATGGATATTTTAATTTTTTATTATCTATGAATTGAGCTTCTAGTCTAATGTCTGTTTCGGCAAATCTTGGTACTCTTGTGAATACCGTAATAGAGCAGTTGCTTTGTTTCTACGGTTTCCGTTTCATGATACTAGTTGGTACTACGGTATCACTATCAATGTGCGTCTGACGCGGATCTACAGATAAGTTGGCGCCTTGATGGGGGGTGAAAGGTGGATTCACCCGCACCCTCAAATATTTTCATCTCTATTTACTTAGCTGGTGGAAATGAGTGGTATATCACAACTGTTTCTCCTATTACTGTTATTACTCAACAATTAATCAATTTTTTTAATTGTACAGAACATTATTTAAAGACCTACAATTGAAGGATATTTTGTATTGAGAAAGAAATTTTCATGAAGATCAAAACTGTGCCATATTTACGAATACACTTTTTCTCTATTGAAGAAGAATTCTGAAGTGTTTACCAACTTTCAGTTCAAAAGTTTCTGCGTTGGTTGACTTATGTGAGGCACATCCATCCATCCATCCATCCATCCCTCCGTCTGCCCGTCCGTCCGTCCACAGATGCCGATTGTCGGGTACAGACCTGTGTGCCTTTCCTCGCCACTGGCACCAATATTAACCATCTTTGGTAGAGATCTAATATACTTTAATTATGACTTTATATTCCAAAATAATCTTAAACATGATTTTATAACCGACAATTTGAGATCGTATTGTTGATTTTCTTCTCTGTTTAGTGTTTTGTAATTGGAAAAGTAAAATAGTCACAAATCCGCAACACTTAATTTTAATGAAGAAGAAATAATAAAATACAATTATACATAATTCAAAATTATCGTTTTCTTTTCTCTACATTAGACCGATCTCCCCAGAAAGAAATATAGTTACGGCCTCACTACATTCACTACAATGTTCTTGAAGGTGAGCTGCGAACAATAACACTGTAATGTTATTGCTCGATGAGCTGTTGCGAGAACATCTTAACTTTACACTAAAATTTAGCATGAAGCGTGGGAGGTGTAACGATTAACGCATGGAACTGTTGTACCAAGTTTGCACGTTCAAACCCGGGTGAACTCAAGGATTTTAAGAGGAAAACAATCTTGGCTGACGCCTGCAGTGTGTAAAGCTTCTGGTCTCATGTGGCATATTTTGGGCATGAAAAATAAAAGCAAACTTTAAAGACGACTAAGAGCACATAGGGTGTCTGCCTAATCTATTTTCTCCGTTCTTGTTGTTTAACTACATGAAGAAAGAATGAAAGACATAAATCAGAAATTGGTAAGATTTCAGCAAATTAACGTTATTTATTTTTCGTGCGAAAATCTGAAGGCGGGATTAACCAGTATTCTGCGCACGCATGTGTATAAATGTAATGTACCGGCAAAAAAGTCAGAGATAGTGATCGTATTGTGACTGTTTCTGAGTAAATTTATAATGTTTCATGTGTCTGATTTACAAGCTTCTCTGAACGTGTAGAGAAAAGATTTCTGACCAGTATCTATGTTATATTTAATTAATTATTGGTTTTGTGAAGGCCATAGTCTCTTGGATGAAATGGTATCTACAGAACAAGATTATAGTCAACGTTTGTTTTAAAAAAGTGTTCAATCTGTACTGCTTGTTGCTTTCCTCCTAGAACACCTAGACGAAGACTTTGCGGTTACGTTGCCGGAAATTATATTTTGACTTTTTTACCAGAGTGTCCCTCGATCAAAATGGTGGTTCCATCCGTTTGAATGAGCGAGGGCAGACAGTTCGCCGTTGCTGGCGATTAAAGAAGTCGAAACAAAGGTTCTGACTCGTTTATTAATCCGTTCCAAAACGTAAGCAGTCTTGGTTCTCAGAAGACCACGATTTTACAGAGGTAATATTATAGAAGATGATGGTTTCCTTAAATTGATCCAGCGTTTTCGTCCTAATTGATTGATTAATACTTGTTGGGGATTGTCGTAGAAATACTGGTGTGTGTGTGTGTGTGTGTGTGTATGTATATGTGGGGGAGGAGAGATATGTAGGCACTACACTACTGCAGCAACCGTCGAACATCAAGACAAAAACTATGCCTACAATGTTCAGATTCATCTTTTAAAGTGTTTACACTTCCAGTTTCATTTCAAAGGGAACAGTAGTTTTGTGGAGGCCATAGATTATTGGACGGACGGGTCAGCTACTACAGTTATTATTTCCGTTAGTGTAGTAACTGTTTTCATATCCGGAGGTGCATTGGGCTACTCGTCGTCTTTCGGGTAAATTTTCCTTTCTAGGTAGCTTCCCCACCGGTTCATTATCGCTACCGAAAAGAGGCTTAAGCTCTCAACTGGTCTCTCAATGTGAGTGGTAGAGTTGTGCATGTAAGTGGAAGTGTGTAAGGAGAGAAGATGGAACTAAGATAAAGGGAAGATCGCATGGAGTCATGGTCCATTTGGTAGGGCACTTCCTCGAGATTCCCTTGACAGTGAATGGGGAAACCACGGAAAATTACCGATCAGAGCAACCAGCCTCTAGAATTCTCCTCCAGACAGGTCTGATTTGACGTAGCTTTCTCTATGGAAAATCTGCAGCCGTCGGGACTCAAACACTAGGACTTTCCGATCAGATCAGGTCGCTGCAGCTGCAAAGAAGACTCTGAGCCTAATTCTTCTGGTCGTTGGGTTATTTGAAAAAAAGAGAACGTAGGCTTCCTCATCCGAGCCATTAGCTACTTGGTTCTCCGAGACACGCTGCTTTCTGGGCACAGGTGCCAATGTTTCCGCCGCCGTTTTGCGACCTTCTTCAGGGCGAAATGCATGAACAAATGATATTTTCATTGTATTGGTCGAGTGTTGTCCGCCGAATTGATGTTTCCATTTCGTGGTTCATCTAATCCCCCGCCCCCGCGCGTGCACCTGCAGGCACCGCGCTGCTGCTGGCGCCGACGTCGTGGGGCGGCAACGCGTCGGCGGCGGCGGGGGCGGCGGCGGGCGT